TAAAGGCAACTCACAAAGTCAACCACCTGCTAAAGGCAACTCACAAAGTCAACCACCTGCTAAAGGCAACTCACAAAATAACGCACCTGCTACTGCTAAACCTAATCACGGCGGTTCTCCTCCTCCTCCTTCCTCATCTAACAAGAAAATCCTTACTGTCGTTTCCAATTCTAAATCCCAATCTAAACCTCAATCTGCCCCTCAATTGAAGCCCTGCACAACAAAGAAAAATAAAAATAAAAAGCGTCGGCTGGGACCCGACTATTAATTTATTTTTCTAATTTAATATAATTTAATAATAATGAAATTAATAATGATTTAACTAGATTTTTTTAGATCCTGGGATTTAACAAAATCATTAGAAATAGAGCCAAATAATGCATTTGCATTAAGTTATTGTGGCCCGTATATGTAATGTCATTTTAAAGCTCCTTAAAATAAAAAAAAATTAATAAAAATATATAAATAATATTCTTGTGTAAACTTTCGATTTGATAATGTACTGATTGATTTATTAATATATATACTTTTCTTGATATGCATTCAATAAATCTAAATATTAGGCTTATCAAACCTTTGATATTTTTATTATAAAATTTTAGGCAATTTGATATTTTGATAATGAGGATACCAAAATGTCTGATAGACTTATCAGAAGCTTGTCTTTTGATAGATAATATCTCACAGAAATTTTATATGTTTATTAATGCAATTCTGATATATCAATAAAATTTACATATATAATATATATTCAAGTATATAAATTTAAATATTTAACTGTCTATATTCTAAATATACTAAATTTTTTTTACTAATAATTAATCTAAATTTATATTATAAATGTTTGATATAATATACTATATTTTTTCTATTTTTTTATAGTTACTACTACAGCTAATCTTTATTTAACTAGATTCTTGGAACTTATTGAAAAAATAGATTTAAAAAGTTTAGTTTATAATAAATATATATTATATATATTACATATATTTGCTAAAGCTTGTCATCATACCATATTACGTTAGATATACGAGTGATGCGGGAATATAGATAGTAAGAATTGGATAGAGGGATAAGCAGTACACAAATTCAGGTAAATACTTGAAGCGGGGCTATGTACCATTAAATACATTTTTCTCATCGGGAGAAATTTTTTAGTGCTATTCTGCGCAGATTTGCAAAAAAATTAAATAATAAATTAAATGAAAATCTGTGCAAAACTTCAGACTCACCAGCTATAGCCACAGAAATTAAAATACAGTTCTGCGCAAAATTTCAAAATATAAAAAATTTTGCAAAAATCTGTATTTTCGCAAGTTTTTGCAGATTTGCACTTATTTAATTCTCCCGATGGTCTATCTTATAAACTACTGTGCTATGCTATATTTCTATGAAAAGTTGATATACGGAAACACTTGCATAAATACAGAATTTTATATGGGCAAATAATCACTCTGCCCTGGTAGGTTTAGGTCGCAGATAGTACAGTAGTAGTCAAGACCTGTCTGAGTCATTCATGTACGTACTTGTAAACATATATGCATGTATCACATAATATATACATACATACTGTATTAATAATGAGGCAAGGCCTCACTTTAACACCAAAAAAAAAAAAACTTGTGAATTAAGTAGTACATGTTGCTAATACAGTATATAATAAATGTATAGTAATAGTAAAATAATTATACAGTATAGTAACTTTAAACCTAAAAAAATTAATAGTAGGCTTGCTAATATATAGTAAATGTTAAAAAAAATTGCCACTATATACTAAGTAATTATATACTGTAATTACTTTATAATTAATTATAAACAATGCTCAATAAAGATATGAGCAAGACCAGTGTTCATTTTTCACATGCGCAAAGTGTGCGCACGTGTGCGGATCCAATCAAATTGGTTTATTTAAAATTTTGATTGGATCCGCACACTTGCGCACAATTTTGCGCACGTGAAAAATAAACACTGAGCAAGACCTCACCTTTAATATAAAAATAATAATAATTAATTAATTAATTAATTATAAATAATATTAAAGTTGTTAATTCACAAATTTTTAGTAAAGTATATTATATATAGTATATATTATTTTTAGTAATATAATAAATGATAAAAATATTTTTACTAATAAAAATTTTAAAAATTATGAATAATTTACAATCCAGCAATTTTTACCATGAGACTATGAAAATTACAATTTGTTCACATTTGTATTATTGCGCTTTGCAAAATTTTGTGACCCCTATTATGATTAATTTTTTTTTTATAAAATGATTGTGATTACGATTGTTCTTATAAAGCTGGCCAATTTTGACTTCACACAATCTAGGGTTGTTAAAACTTACTTGACAACCTTACATGGTAAGTTACGTTAAGTTGCGATGTGCCCTTATGTAAATTAAGGTTATTAAGGCTGGCCAAATCATGTGACAATTTCTACCGGCATTAAGATCAGGCCAAGTTTCATAAGTTATTTTTATATAACAGATAACTTACAAGTAATTTACATACGTACGTAAATCAGTAAAATACATGTAACTTACAAACAACCCTAAAAAATTAATAATTATAGGAGTTACACAATTTTGCGCAATAATAAATGACTAGCGCTAGTCTTTCAAAATAAATTATATTTGAGATTATAGATAAGTTGATTAATTTTACAGAGATAGTTGCTAAATTGAACTTCTTGATAAAATAATGTTACTATGCTCTATTTGTTATAAGATGAATGTATACTGTGTTTGGCAATATACGTATCACGGTATACATACCTTATTTATCCTAGGTACCGCACAAAAAAATGTGAAAAATGTTCCAGAGTCAATTTTACCATAGAGTGGACCTATTTTTAAAAAATCTCCTTTTTTGTAGCTAAAAAATTAAAAAAAACCCCCAATTTCCGGCCAAGAATTAAGAATTTTGAAGATCATTAACCTAAATTAATTTAATGCAGGCCAAATTTTTTGTGCAGGCAACTAAACATTTTTAAACATTTTTTCACCGATTTAAAACAGTGATGATTAAAGTCCGAATAGTTAAATCTGGATTTAAACATATTTAAGATCATAATCATCACCTATTTTAAATTACGTAATAAAAAACTTTGCCATCTTAGTTATAACAGATAAGCGATTTTTGACTAAAACCTGATCTTGAAACTTGATTGGCCAATGAAATTTTTTAGGGTGGTGATTGTAATAATGTTTATATAATGATCCTCCTTTATCATTGTCAAAGATATTCGAGTTTCATACTATCGAATGTGAAAGACGTTATATTCAATAGCGACTTAACCTTTTATGCTATTGTAATTATATTATGAAGATGACTGCACCTATAAGTATGTGTATGCTTTATCACGCGATCTACAATGAGAATGTAACAATTTAACATAAATATAGTAAATGTATGTAACCATTATTATAATCTGCATTACTACGTTCATTTGTACGTACTGTACGTAGACTAACAAAAAAACGATAATCCATTCATATAATTAAGTTTTATTCGGAAGTTTATTGAATTTTTATAAAACCATAAAATATGATTTTCGGTGAATTCTAATATTTCTTTTTAGTATACGTAGTATACCTTAATAATTATTAATTCGAAATTTTCATAATGGTAATGGTTATTAGCTCCTTTTCAAAAAAAAAAAAAAAAAATCTAAACAAAGACATCGTAATTGAAAATTTCCATTTTCATCCACTTACGAGTACATACGTACAATGGCAACCTTTAGGGCTAGCCAAAAAAGTTAACCGACCGCCGAACATGCGTTCGCCTACATTAGCATAAAGCATGAGTCTATGCTGAAAAGTATACTTTTTCTATTTTTTCAATTCTCAGAGCTTTCTTCGTTCAAAATATACATACATACATATATATATTATTAGTTCTCAATAAGAACTTTTTTTTCTTACGATTTGTATACGTTCTATTTAAAACAATGGGTCAATGCATATCTCAAGGTCAATCCGAATTTCGGCAATCAAGAAACACGCTGCAGGCACGTGGAGAATTCTTAGGTTCAGACTTAAGGGTAATGTTCAATAATCCTGTATATAGCGATATCATTATTACTTGTAAAGATGGAGGTGTATTATACGGTAGTAAATTACTTTTGGCAGCCCGCTCTGATATATTTGCTAATATGTTTTTAAAATCTAATAACGATAAAAATGCAACAAAGAATGAAGATTCTATTTCATTCCCAGAATTTAATTCAAAAACAATATTAATGATTCTAGAATATTTATATATGGGAAATATTACGATGGAAACATTAACACTTAACAATGTAGTAGAGGCATATTTTGGTGCAGAATATTTTCTACTTCCTCAGCTTGAAGATATAGTAATTTCATTTTTGGACAACGCATTAAAATGTAGTGCGGACAATACTCTTGCTGCAAAATTTTTAACACAAGCAACGGAATTTATGTCACCTTCAACAGATGACATATTATATCGAACACTTCATAAATGTTTGATAGTTACTCCATTAGAAACTGTAAATTTTGGAATTCTTAATCAGGAGGGTTTACAATTTATATTATCACCAAAAGGGATAGAAGATGAAGAATTTGCAACATCTGAATACGGTGTATTTCGATATATATTATTATGGGCTGCTAATAAAATTTCTAAAGATGTTGTTACTCATTTTGAGTCCCTTTTACCAACATCTGATCAAGCAGAACACCTTGATGTCTTACAATTAGATAGATTACGTAGAGCTCATGAAATAAATCATTATAAAAGTAAAGAACTTTATGAATCAATCTTTCCATTAGTATCACCTTTATTAAAATGTGTCGATTTCAAATTAATTCATCCATCAATATTAGCAAATATTATTGAACCATTGGATTTTGTTCCTTCGGAATTTTTAATAGATGCGTTTAGATATCAAACAAAATTACCTCCTGGAGTAGGTCCTAAAAGGAATAGAGGAGTTGTTACCGCAAAACCCGGAAATCTTAAACTTCAATGGGATCAATATGCTCATGGACCAAATATTTTTGTTTTAGAGAATAATACGGTTCTTAGAAGTCGATCAAAAAAATCCGAATTCGCCAGAACAACTTTACCAATTCGAGGTCGTGATTTATATGAGTGGGATATTATAATAGAAGAAGATTGTAAATACATTTGGATCGGTGTGTGTACTGAAAGAAGATTCGAAGTTAATTATTCAAATTGGTTAGGTGGGGAAATTTATGGTTATACACTTGGATCGAACGGTTCACTTGCTCACAATAGAGGTCCAAATAATGAAAAATCTTTAAAAAATTCGATCAGTTACGGTTCAAAGTTTGGAAAAAATTCTTGTATTACTGTTCATTTAGATATGGGAAGTAGAACGTTATCATTCTCAATCAATGGTATAAAGTATGGTAGTGCGTTCACGGATTTACCACGTGAAGTTTATCCAGCTGTTTCATTAAAAAAGCCGGGAAAGGTTAGAATTGGTCATCATGACAACCCAATTTCAATGGCCGAATTGAATAGTAATGAATTAGTAAAATAATACTCTTGCATTCATCATTTATCGTCATTGAAAAATCTCTGAAAATTGTTTATACTAAATACATATCGAGCCAAATTAAATAAACTATTTGATTCGTAGTATAAAAATCTTAATGATAACCTAGTCATGTGTAGTGTTTGTAGTCGATCCTTATTTATCGACTTGACTAAGTCGATATTTAAAATTCGGCTTAGCCGGCTAAGTCAGAGTCGATAAATATTTTACCTTTGGAATTTATCGGTGATTTCATCAAATTTTTGTCGCGACCTTGCTCATATTTTTATGTTCGTTGATTTTCTCTTCGGAATTTTTCAGCTCTTACTCTTAGTACTATGTACTAAGAGAGGTAATGTATCGAAACTGATTGGTACTTTATTTAATAAATCTACATAAAATCGACTATGCGAAATTGACTACTCATGTGCGCCAAACTATCTCTATTAACACTAAATCAAAATGCATTTCAAATCTCCTATTTCTAATAAA